AAAGTGATAAGAAAATGTGTGAAGTATGGGAAGACTTGCAAAGTTTTGTTGAAAAAACTCATCCAGATAAAGCTGTAGCAGGCCGTTGCATTGACCTTTTAAATGACAATGTGATGTCTTACTACAGACAAGTGTTAAAATGTAGGGAAAAACAAATGTCTTTAGACAGATTCTTAGTAAGACAAGCAAGTCTTAGTGGTATGCAGGCAAAACGTGCCAGTGTGTGCACACCAGTGAAGTCCTCACTGCCTGTGTTATAATGGAAGGGTACTCCCCTTCCAAACAGTAACACCTGTTATGGTGCCCTAACCTATTTCTTTCGTTTGCCTGCTTTAAGTGTCATATCGGCTCTCTACTGATTCTCCGAGATACAGGGAGTCTGTTGGTATATGTAGCGACCAGACCGGCTGCCAGATAAGGGAGAAATTTACATCATAAGTTTGTAGGTTAAAGGGGAAAGTGGCGCCCAGATATAAATGAAAGAGTACCCCCTACCTGCAGATCCGTCTTTTTGTAGAAAACGCTAGCCGTGTGCGGATTGGGTGGCGTGGGTCACGGGCGACCAATCAGAGCCCGCCGTGACGTCACCGAGTGCCCCGGGCAGCGCCAACGTCAGAGTTAACCTGACTGTGGAGGTGAGAGGACGTGCCTCGGTCAGCTCTCAAGGATTTGAGGCTCTACAAGCCTTATTCAGTGGATTAAACTAGCCAGGGAGCCGGTCGGCCGAGCGGACAGCACGCTGGACTTGTGATCCTGTGGTCCTGGGTTCGATCCCAGGCGCCAGCGAGAAACATTTGAGGCTCTACAAGCCTTATTCAGTGGATTAAACTAGCCATCGCAGCCCATCATCGTTATTGGATACCCCTGCGCTTCTGGGAAGCAAGAAAGAAGCCAAGTTCATTGAGCGGAGGAGTGCCAAACTTGGAAAATTGGTCGGCGACGACGCTGGGTGGCACCGCTCGACGCTGAGGATCTGGAAAGGTGTGGCGGGCAGGCTTAGCTGTCACTGGGTCACATTCACTGAGGGGTTTGAAGGGACGACACCGTTCCTAGAACAAGGAGCAACGCCTTGAGGCAGGGACGAGTGTGTGCATATAGTGATTAGCTCAGTGCCCACTGGTGAACCAGGATTGGGATAGCTGAATCTCTGGGATTGAATTGGAGATGACGCAAAGGCTGCACGACACCTGAGGACTTGTGGAACGTTCCTGGATCGTCAAGGATCGACTCAGGAAGCGTGGGGACCTCACACCATCGCGGGACAGGCGTCGTGAGCCAGGAATGTAAGGTAGATCAAATTTACCTCCCATTACCCCTTGTTTGAGTAGGCTAGATAGGCCACGATATTTGCATTTGTATGTTGCAGGATAGCATTAATACTTTAGTAATAGGATAGGCTGCAGGGCAGCTTGTGTCCAGGACTGTTGGAGAGGACAGTGTGTGTGGACGACAGGACAGTGGAATAAGAGGTGCAGACGTGGCGAAGAGGCCCTTCTGTGAGTGTGTGTGTGACTCCTGTCTAATCTGCCCAGTTGAAGGAGTGGTTGGAGGTCGTGAAAGAAGAGTTGCTGACGATCTCCAGATTTATTATCCTTATGTTCATTTTCCTGTATTGCTTATAAGTGTATGTGTGATCATGTAATTTGTGTCAGTAAATTCACACATTTGGCGTTGACAAAGCAATCGTCGGGGGCTGTCTGCTCCACTCGAGCTGTTAGGCGCGAGTTGCCATAGAGATATTATTACCTAATTATTTCAATGTCTTGATTTTTTCTATTTTTTTTTACAGTAATATTATTCAAAAGTGTATTGTGTGATATATTTATATCACACAATAGACACACAATACAGAGGCGCTGCTTTGAATGCCTCTCGAGCCACACGACGTGCACGATTACTGGCGATTACTGCTGCCTACAGGATGCCTTGACCACACCCTGCTGCCTACAGGATGCCTTGACCACACCCTGCTGCCTACAGGATGCCTTGACCACACCCTGCTGCCTACAGGATGACTTGACCACACCCTGCTGCCCACAGGATGCCTTGACCACACCCTGCTGCCTACAGGATGACTTGACCACACCCTGCTGCCTACAGGATGACTTGACCACACCCTGCTGCCCACAGGATGACTTGATCACACCCTGCTGCCCACAGGATGACTTGACCACACCCTGCTGCCTACAGGGTGACTTGATCACACCCTGCTGCCTACAGGGTGACTTGATCACACCCTGCTGCCTACAGGATGACTTGACCACACCCTGCTGCCTACAGGATGACTTGACCACACCCTGCTGCCCACAGGATGACTTGATCACACCCTGCTGCCCACAGGATGACTTGACCACACCCTGCTGCCTACAGGATGACTTGACCACACCCTGCTGCCCACAGGATGACTTGACCACACCCTGCTGCCTACAGGATGACTTGACCACACCCTGCTGCCCACAGGATGACTTGATCACACCCTGCTGCCCACAGGATGACTTGACCACACCCTGCTGCCTATAGGATGACTTGACCACACCCTGCTGCCTACAGGATGACTTGACCACACCCTGCTGCCTACAGGATGACTTGACCACACCCTGCTGCCCACAGGATGACTTGATCACACCCTGCTGCCCACAGGATGACTTGACCACACCCTGCTGCCTACAGGATGCCTTGACCACACCCTGCTGCCTACAGGATGACTTGACCACACCCTGCTGCCTACAGGATGACTTGACCACACCCTGCTGCCCACAGGATGACTTGATCACACCCTGCTGCCCACAGGATGACTTGACCACACCCTGCTGCCTACAGGATGACTTGACCACACCCTGCTGCCTACAGGATAACTTGACCACACCCTGCTGCCTACAGGGTGACTTGACCACACCCTGCTGCCTACAGGATGACTTGACCACACCCTGCTGCCCACAGGATGACTTGATCACACCCTGCTGCCCACAGGATGACTTGACCACACCCTGCTGCCTACAGGATGACTTGACCACACCCTGCTGCCTACAGGATACCTTGACCACACCCTGCTGCCTACAGGATGACTTGACCACACCCTGCTGCCCACAGGATGACTTGATCACACCCTGCTGCCCACAGGATGACTTGACCACACCCTGCTGCCCACAGGATGACTTGATCACACCCTGCTGCCCACAGGATGACTTGACCACACCCTGCTGCCCACAGGATGACTTGATCACACCCTGCTGCCCACAGGATGACTTGACCACACCCTGCTGTCTACAGGATGACTTGACCACACCCTGCTGCCTACAGGATAACTTGACCACACCCTGCTGCCCACAGGATGACTTGATCACACCCTGCTGCCCACAGGATGACTTGACCACACCCTGCTGCCTACAGGATGACTTGACCACACCCTGCTGCCCACAGGATGACTTGATCACACCCTGCTGCCCACAGGATGACTTGACCACACCCTGCTGCCTACATGATAACTTGACCACACCCTGCTGCCTACAGGATGACTTGACCACACCCTGCTGCCTACAGGGTGACTTGATCACACCCTGCTGCCCACAGGATGACTTGACCACACCCTGCTGCCTACAGGATAACTTGACCACGCCCTGCTGTTCACTGGATGATTTGACCACACACTGCTGCCTGCAGGATGACTTGACCACACCCTGCTACCTGCAGGATGACTTTATCACACCCTGCTGCCCACAAGATGCCTTGATCACACCCTGCTGCCCACAGGATGACTAGACCACACTGCTGTCCACAGGATGACTAGACCACACCCTGCTGCCCACAGAATGACTTGATCACACCCTGCTGCCCACACGATGCCTTGACCACACCCTGCTGCCCACAGGATGACTTGACCACACCCTGCTGCCTGCAGGATGACTTGACCACACCCTGCTGCCTGCAGGATGACTTGATTACACCCTGCTGCCTGCAGGATGCCTTGACCACACCCTGCTGCCTGCAGGATGACTCGACCACACCCTGCTGCCTGCAGGATGACTTGACCACACCCTGCTGCTTGCAGGATGACTTGACCACACCCTGCTGCTTGCAGGATGACTTGACCACACCCTGCTGCCTGCAGGATGACTTGACCACACCCTGCTGCCTGCAGGATGACTCGACCACACCCTGTTGCCCACAGGACATAAATCAACACATTCATTCATCACACTACAATTAAAAATTGAGTGTAAAAACAACATATCTTTGGGTACGGGTATAATACCTAACTTTTGTGGTTTCATTAAAAAAATATACATTGGCCAGTCTTCATTTGCAGGGGAAACCCACTTTTTACCAAAATTCCCAATTTTTTTCAAAATTTTACCCGAGGGCCACTACCTCTTTAGCGGCTTCTACAAGGACAGGAAGTCGGCAGCTTGTCATTAGCCCCCCCCCCCTCCCTCCCCCTCCATTTGCAGTGATGAGCCCGAGATATATATCAGAGTTACTAGAGGGCCACTAACCCTAGTGGCTTCGACGAGGACAGGAAGCTGACAGCTTGTCAAAAAATATGTGGACATCTCGTCAATCCCTGTGCCGACATCTCGTCAATCCCTGTGCCGACATCTCGTCAATCCCTGTACCGACATCTCGTCAATCCCTGTGCCGACATCTCGTCAATCCCTGTGCCGACATCTCGTCAATCCCTGTGCCGACATCTCGTCAATCCCTGTGCCGACATCTCGTCAATCCCTGTACCGACATCTCGTCAATCCCTGTACCGACATCTCGTCAATCCCTGTGCCGACATCTCGTCAATCCCTGTGCCGACATCTCGTCAATCCCTGTGCCCGCTAAAACAGTGTGCCTAATGTATCCTGTAAAATGTATTCCTGACAGCGCAACCAGCAGACAAGTAGGTCTACGGTAAGAAAATTTCCTACAGTCGTCTGCTCTGGTGCTGAAAACATAAGAACGGACTACAACCGTTGTAATATTGCTCATTAAACGCTACATGGACAGTTACTAACCTTCTGGTGCGCAGGGTGGTGGTTGTGGTGTATGACTGTCAACAGTCAACGGGACAAATGTCCCCAAAACCTGTCTAAAACTGTCCATAAAACAGCGCCGTCAAAATCCTCACCAAATGTTTACCTCAGACGACGCTGTCCGGATGCTCTGTTCGGCCTCGACTTCCTCTTCTTCTTTCAATGCCAAAAACAATTATTCCTTTTCCTCCAAACTATTGCTTGACATATTACGCCGGTTGACAGTAGTAACGACTATGGTTATGCCATGTGCTAACGCTAACTAACGTTACCTGATCCCGAATCTTCAGAACATAACGAAACGGACTCAGGTAAAGGCCCAGACGAGAGTGACACAAGATAATTGTTATCGCCCCTAAATCAACACAACAACAAGTTAATTGTTAAATATTTATCTATTTAAGCACAGGAAGTTGCGAGGGGTTATAGTATTGCATATTTATGTAACTAAATGATACGTTTCTGCAGCGCCAGACGTGAGATTAACAATAATGAACCAGCTTGAAGGTCAATGAGTGAGTAGGTTTTTTATTAAGACATTTAGCTACATCTGCATTTGTGCAGCTATCCTAGACTATATGAAGGGGAGTACAGTGTGTCATAAAGCTAGCTACGTGATGCTACAAATCCCCATCGCACAGGATGGTTAGTCATACAGAGGCATGTGATAAGTAGTCTGCACTGGCAGACTCTGGGTGCATTATGAGGATATCATCAACACAAGAGTGAATAAGGCAGCAGTGATACTAAAAGTCCCCATCTCGCAGGATGGTTAGTCATACAGAGGCATGTGATAAGTAGTCTGCACTTACAGACTCTGGGTGCATTATGAGGATATCATCAACACAAGAGTGAATAAGGCAGCAGAGATACTAAAAGTCCCCATCTCGCAGGATGGTTAGTCATACAGAGGCATGTGATACGTAGTCTGCACTGACAGACTCTGGGTGCATTATGAGGATATCATCAACACAAGAGTGAATAAGGCAGCAGAGATACTAAAAGTCCCCATCTCGCAGGATGGTTAGTCATACAGAGGCATGTGATTAAGTAGTCTGCACTGACAGACTCCGGATGCATTATGAGGATATCATCAACACAAGAGGGAATAAGGCAGCAGTGATATTAAAAGTCCCCATCTCGCAGGATGGTTAGTCATACAGAAGCATGTGATTAAGTAGTCTGCACTGGCAGACTCCGGATGCATTATGAGGATATCATCAACACAAGAGGGAATAAGGCAGCAGTGATATTAAAAGTCCCCATCTCGCAGGATGGTTAGTCATACAGGGCCTTATGTTCAGTAGCCTGCACTGGCAAATTTTGGGTGCAATATGAGGATATCTTCAAGAACACGAGAGTGAATAAGTGCTCAGGATTCGGAGATCCATCACCTATAGCCACCTGCCACAGGTAACGGTAACCCAACCTGATCCTGGCAACCACTGTGTCGCACAGTCTGGTGGACGTTTTGTGCTGCCCATAGATATAGGTTTCAGCGCCAGCTACGCCATCCCTATACTGGGGTGAGTGAGTGAGTAAGTACTCACCTAGTTGTATATATATACGAGGGATGATCCACGGCTCTTGGTCCCCATCTCTCAACTCTCAATCGACTGGTGTATATAGGTTTCAGAGCCTATTTGGGCTCTGTGTATGATATCTGCCTCCACTATTTCACAGCGCATTGGCCAATTCTCCACTACACTGACAAATTATATTTAATGTCTCAATGACTCATTTGGAGTACTTAATAGTTTCCATCTGTATCCACCTCATTCGTGTACCACCCTTGCTAAAGAGTCTGTTCTTGACTGTCCTGTCTATTCCTCTGTGTATTTTGTACGCGATACTATCAATTAGTTGGTGGGTAATTAATATCCCAAGGGTAATTAATATCCCCAGAGTGGCACTTCTGACAAAATTAAATCTGACGTAGACAAAGGATCACCTTTTTCTGATCATGGAGAAAAAAACAAGCCAGGAGTGGGGGACCTTAATTTATTAAGTAATGTTTACAGAGCAACTGCTGTACCACAATAAAAGATGTCGTGTAACATGACTGAGTAGAATGCCAGTACTGCAAAGATGCAACTAAGGGAAAAAGTCGTAGGACATTAACCGTGCCGAGTCACTTTTTACTTGAAATTATCTGTCAAATTAAAGGACTTGCCCGAAACGCTATGTGTGTTAGTGGCTGTACACGAATGTAAAAACATCATTGCTATGTTGTCTCATAAACCCAATGTACATTCTTGTATAAATAAATAAATAAATAAATAAATAAATAAATAAATAAATAAATAAATAAATAAATTCTAAAAATGTGCCATGCAGGGTGGCGGTGCTCGTGTTGTAATCCATTTAAGTTTCCCCTCTGCAATCCGTTCTCACACCATCTGTTTAAAGCAGGGGCCGTCCTCCCCAGACGCATTCATCAATTTTAACATACTGTGTATTAAAAATTGGTTTGTTCTCATATATAAGTTAATATTCTTATACATAAAATGCCGCCGGCGGCGATCATGGCGGTCGGCAGGTGGTAGGGTGGCGCTTTTACTTCCTACGCCAGGCAGGAAGTCGTCACTCTCCCCTGCTGAGGCTCCTCCCGCGGCCAGCAGGCACTCGCCCTTCAGGGCAGGGAGGGCCGGCCTGCTGGCCTGCGGAGTGGGGGTGCAGCGCCGGTCCCCAAGTGTTCCGCTGTCCGCAGCTACTTAATTAACTTACTTTGCATTGTAGGAAGTAACTTAATTTTGCCGCACACTTTACATCCATTCTAGGTACTAGTAAGCCCTACCTTCAGTCCGGAAATTCTTATATCCTTATTCCTTGGCGGCACGGCCTCATGGTCTGAGTTATTTTCTCCTGAGAGCGCTCCCTTTCCCAGATTATTTACACTGATGGATCCTTGCATCAGTCCCATGGTGCAGCTGGAAGTGCAGTTGTTGAGACAGGGAGAGATGGTTCCTTCTCCCATGAGTGTGGAGCGCGTCTAAGTAACTGGGCCTCCACTCTTCAAACAGATTTGCTATAATCCTTGATACTCGAGCGCGTATATGAATCCAAAGTTGACACGCTAATTGTAAGTGACTCCTTGTCATCCTTGACTGCCCTCAGCTCCCCAAGGCATAACTGTGACGTGCTTATCTCTGAAGCTAGACATAGATATAATGAAATAATCAATGATGGAGTCAGAGTTTGTCTCCTGTGGATTCCTTCCCATATTGGTCTCCGAATGCATGATAGAACTGATGAGTTAGCCAAAACATTTGCTCGTAAAGAGGGAATTGATTGCCATCTTGGACTGCCTTTGAGCAGCCTGAGGGCAGTAATATTCCGGGAACTGCAATAAAATCTATTAGACTCTAGGCAAAGCGAAATTCACACTAGTTACTCCATCTATCATCATTCTATTATGCAGGAAGAACTGCACGTCTATCGATAATCCAATAAGGTTAGCAGACTTAGATAGGCAGACTTCTAGATGTTACCTTCTGCTGCTAGGATGTCACCACTGCTAGGCTACAAGTACCTCTGGGAGTTTGCACCATCTTCTGATGTAGATTTGACTAAATGTAAACTCTGTCAGCAGAACTATTCGCATACTTTGCGTCATTATATAATGGAATGTGAAAAAATCGCGGAATTCAGAGATAACACCATCAATAGAGTTCAAGATATGTGTAAGTACTTCATTTACAATGATGTGCTGCCAGGAATCTTAGCGACGTATCCAAAGTTTGCTTACTGTAGGTGTAGCTGCCGCCCAGTTGGGTGGGTGTGGAGCACATGACTGTAAAGCTGCTGCCCAGTTGGGTGGGTGTGGAGCACATGACTGTAAAGCTGCCGCCCAGTTGGGTGGGTGTGGAGCACATGACTGTAAAGCTGCCGCCCAGTTGGGTGGGTGTGGAGCACATGACTGTAAAGCTGCCGCCCAGTTGGGTGGGTCTGCCGCCCAGTTGGGTGGGTGTGGAGCACATGACTGTAAAGCTGCCGCCCAGTTGGGTGGGTGTGGAGCACATGACTGTAAAGCTGCCGCCCAGTTGGGTGGGTGTGGAGCACATGACTGTAAAGCTGCCGCCCAGTTGGGTGGGTGTGGAGCACATGACTGTAAAGCTGCCGCCCAGTTGGGTGGGTGTGGAGCACATGACTGTAAAGCTACCGCCCAGTTGGGTGGGTGTGGAGCACATGACTGTAAAGCTGCCGCCCAGTTGGGTGGGTGTGGAGCACATGACTGTAAAGCTGCCGCCCAGTTGGGTGGGTGTGGAGCACATGACTGTAAAGCTGCCGCCCAGTTGGGTGGGTGTGGAGCACATGACTGTAAAGCTGCCGCCCAGTTGGGTGGGTGTGCAGCAAGACTAGTAACTGTGTGACTCATAATAATAATAATAATAATAATAATAATAATAATAATTTATTTATGAACAGTACATACATAGTTGCATCATTACAGTACAAACATTCTGTTAGATTTAAAGATAGAGGTAGTACATACAATACCTAAAGCCACTAGTACACATAGCGTTTCGGACAAGGAGAGGCGGGGAAAAAACACTTAGACTAAAACTTAATAGTAATTGAGCTTAAAGTATAAATTGTGTTGAAAGAAAAAATATAATAAAAGATAAAAAAAGGGAGGAAACATGGTAGAAAATAGCCAATATACAAGTTGGTCAACAAACAACATTTTTTTATAAAATAGTAAGACATGGTTGACATTTAGAAGTAAGGTAGGTTACATGGAGTTAATTAGGTAGTACTTAGTTTTCATCTTAAACTGGTTGAGAGAGGTACAATCTTTGATATAATTGGGAAGGTCATTCCACATTCTGGGTCCCTTGATTTGTAGAGCATTTCTAGTTTGGTTAAGTCGTACTCTTGGAATATCAAATAGGTATTTGTTTCTGGTGTGGTGCTCATGGGTTCTGTTACAACTTTCTAGGAAGCGGTGAAGGTCAGGATTGACATTACAGTTCAGAGTTTTAAATATATAGAGTACACATGAGAGAATGTGCAGTGACTTAATATCTAACATATTCAGAGATTTGAGTAAGGGTACCGAGTGCTGCCTGAGGCCAGAGTTAGATATTGTTCTAATAGCAGCTTTGTGTTGAGTAA